GAGGTTGCAGATGATGAGAGAGGGAGTGCTTGGTTTTTTTCAACAGCTGCCTCTACAGCTAGTTGCAAACATGGCATTAACAGCCTCTACAGAAATGCTGTTTGGTTCTCTTTGGCTGAAAGGGTGTTGACTATGACTTACCAGGGTGGCTTTGTAAGAGGGGACTTCAACCCCAGATGAAAAATGGACTAATAGGACCCAAAGGTCTCTTGGGAGGAAGAGGGGAAAGAGACAGAGTGAACAATATTTTAGATATTTTGCTTATGTGGGCTACATAGTGTTACACACTCAAGCTCCCTGCAATGTGTTATTAGTGAAGTAAGAAAACTGATTATTGGGCCTAGCCCCGTACCACTTATTCAGGAAATATTCCCATTGAAGACAGTAAGAGAACATACCATTTTTGTGTATTTTTAGCCTCAGAAGAGCTGACAATTGCTGGTATGACTTTTACCACTTTTGATCTGGGTGGACATGCTCAAGGTAAGATAGTGACTCAATTGGCTCATTTGTTCTTGTAACTATATTGACTTCAGTGCCAATAATTGTAACCTTTATTTGTTTCATATCAAACAAATGACCATGCTACAAATATTATTCTATCAGGCTTTTTTTTTGCCAATATAGAAAACATTTCCTGATCTGCTTTCTCTCTCTACCGTTCGTTGCACCCTAATATAAAATTAGGTGGGAGCAACAAAGAGCTGAAGTAGAGGGGAAAGCCGTTGATTGATGTGACCATTAGAAAAACCAAATAAAAAAGATCAAAACAAAAACCCCTACCCTGAGATTTACCATCAGCCTTTATGGTTTAAACTTACATTTGCTGATGTAAGTTTATAGAAAAGGTAAACTGCAGTATATCTATGCACATATGGAATTGATCTATCAGGGGCACTAATAAAACTTCCACCTCTTTTACTGCTAACTTGGACTGAAAGTCCAATACAGTTTATCAAAAATTTCAAATTCTTCAGATCGTCATAAGCCATTTGACTGCTAAATAATACACTAAGTCACAGACTTTTAGAGCTGTACTTACGGATATGAACAGTTTTTCTCCTGGTTCAAATAGTAAAGCGTTCCTTTTTTGCTTCTTTATTTCAAGCTATGTCAAGCAGGGTAGGTTGTCCTAAAGATTTTAAACTTTTTAAAATAGAAGTAGCTGCCCTTTTAAAGATTCTGCTATTTAATGAAATCCTGTGCATTACTCTGAATTTTGCTGTTAATTTATAACGCTCTTTGTTAGCTCGCAGAGTGTGGAAAAATTATCTGCCTGCCATCAATGGCATTGTGTTTCTGGTGGACTGTGCTGATCATGAAAGATTGACTGAATCAAAAGAAGAACTTGATGTAAGTAAATAAATTGGATTTTTTTAAAAAATTGAACTTATGTTCTCAGTACCTGAAAATGGGCACGTCTGCCACCCAACCAGGGGGTTCAGCAGTGTGTTCTTTTTCCTCCCTCCGCTCTCTCCATCCCTCATCCCCAAGTACTGTTTGCTGCTGGTTTCCTCTCCTTGCATACAAGGATACATATTCTCATTGAACTCCTCTTCCTTTTTTCTCCCCGTCATAGTCGCTAATGACAGATGAAACTGTTGCAAATGTGCCTATCCTAATTCTTGGTAACAAGATTGACAGACCTGAAGCCATCAGTGAAGAGAGGTTACGGGAGATGTTTGGTTTGTATGGCCAAACAACAGGAAAGGTAATGCTTGTTTTCTTGTTAGAATTTGCTTTCCCTGTACTCCAGAGCGAGCATTCTTTTGCATCACTTCTTTCCAGCTACACACACAAACTGTGTACTTTAGTATTCATAGATTAAAAAATGTAATATCTACAAAATAAAGTCTAAAACTTCTGGATTAGATATAGTTCTACTAATAATTTATTAATTGTTTTCAGGGTCATCTTTGTTCAGAGAAAGAGAATCACACTTAAACTATCCTGGTACAGTGCTTATAGCTTCCTGTAAAATACTTTGAGTGAGCAAGTCTCTAAAGGTAGTTCTTCAGATTAGAACTCTGTTAGGAGATTTGATAAAGTTTGGTAGGCACTGATCTTTCTGATTTATAGTGCAGGTTCATAGAGCGATACAATCTGAAAATATTAGTCCAAGGATTAGAAATGAGATACTAAACTCCACTACACTACTGTGGAAATCTTGATTGGTAGTTTATAAAAAAAGTTCTTACTAATACCTGTAGCAATAAAGTAGGTTTTACATCTGAATCATTGTGCTATTTGAACTCTCTACTTCTAATAGCACACTCAATGTGTAACAGATATTCAGTTGTAGGGGATTAAAAACAAGTTTCTCCAATATCCCTCATGCTTGTAATGTAGATTTTTCTAGACCAGCCATGTGAAATTCAATATATTTTTCTGGAGAAGAACAAGACCCACCTTTGGCTCGTAACACAGCATTTGGGTTATAATGGGCATTATCAAGTATGTGGGGAAAAAAGATGGAGAGAGTTACAATTGTACAGCTGTATTTGCAACTTCTCAACAGTGTGTATCATGAGGTTATGTTTTAGTGCCAGTGTAGCCTATGCATGGGCACAGGTAGGGTTAAGTGCTAGACAGATTTTTCCACACTGAGCAGTAGTAAATATCAAGTCCCTTGTGCATTCGATCCCTCATTCAGAAGTGCACAGGGTAAAATAGTGTGTCTGTGATGGGGGATCCTTATTGTAGGATCATGTAAATGTAGAACTAGAAGGGAACTTAAGAGGTCATCAAGTCCAGTTCCCTCCGCTTAGGCCAGACAAAGTAAACCTAGACCATCCCTGACAGGTGTTTGTCCAACCTTTCTTAAAAAACCTCCAACCATGGGATTCCACCTCCCTTTGGAAGCCTATTCTTTACTCTTCTTGTTAAAAAGTTTTCCCTAATATCTAACCTAAATCTCCTTTGCTGCAGATAAAGCCCATTACTTCTTGTTCTACTGTCAGTGGACATGGAGAACAATGGTGGTTGGATTCTCCCGTTTTCTCTGCCCTCCTTATCACCTTTTTATCTTGCTCTTATTTTCATAACACTCACACCTATGTTGTGCAAGTTCAAACCCAAAATGCAGTATAGGCAAAAATGTCTTCAAATGAGCAGTAACGGTTTTTGTTATTGCTATTCCTTGGCCTTGGACTACAGTCAGCATGACTGAGGTCAGTCTTACCATTAGTGGCAAATGCCCTTCTTATCTAATTGCAAAATGAATAATGCCCATCCATAGAGAAACTCCTAATGTGAGTTTTCAAAAATCATCTTGGTTTAAAAATCTCCTTTTTGACCATGCTTGCTCTTGCATTCCTGTTGCATGTACTTCATCTCCTCTGAATATAACAGATAGAAATGATAGAATGCACAATATATTTCAGAAAGGGACTTTATTCTTGGTAACTTCAGGTTAATTTTTCAAATTTCTAGTATTTAAAACAAATTAGGTAATAACATTACATTAAAAAATGTTTGTTTTTGTAGAAAGAACCCATTTTTTCATACTATTGAGATTTGATATACTTTTGATCTCTTACTTCCAGGGCAATGTATCTCTGAAAGAATTGAATGCCAGACCACTGGAAGTCTTTATGTGCAGCGTGCTAAAGAGACAAGGCTATGGAGAAGGATTCCGTTGGATGGCACAATACATTGATTAACACCAAAATCACATCAGTACATTCTGTCCTATGTCTGAATATGAAGTCTGCTCATTATTTGATCACTCAGTGTACATAACTTAAACTCAGTAGACTTTGTTTGGTTACAAAAGCAAATGTTTTTTAGATTATTAAATCAACTATGCTAAACTGCAAGTGTGAGGATTGAAAACTGATTTTAAGCAAGTTTGTAAGACTGAATATCACCACATGTTAGCTTTCAAATCCCATAACACAACATTCTTTTGAAATTTATAACTTGACAATAGTCTTCTGCACCATTTTTTGACAGAGTGACTTTCCAGGACAGTATGTTTAAACGCACTTTTTAACAGCTAAAAACAAGAGCCATGTGAACGACATTTAATGCTCATCATGTTAAATTTTTTATGTACTTTTTTGAAACTGGTTTTATAAATTTAGATTATATAACCACCTCTCAAGGAACAATAAATTATTAGCTTATTGATAATTGCATGATGCCTTACAGCTTTCAATAATACACTTTCTTATGCAACGTCATGCAATAAAACTAAATCCAGTTTTTGGCATCTTTGATGGGAAATGTTTCATTTTAATGTGTCTTAACTAGTGAGGATGTCTGAAGATCTGACTATGTGGAATATCTTCCTGAAACATAGGAGGCCACAAGGTAGTTTCAGTGAACTTTAGATTATTCCGCTGTTAATGCAAAATCCTAACAAATGCAATCAGGTAGTTTGAAAAGCTTATAATTCTCTAATCAGATGCCCCATAACCACTAATCTGTAATTTAAAAAAAAGAATCACATTAAATTAATCAATTAGTGCCTACACAATTCTTGCACTAAAAGCAAAAGTTAGCCCATTTTATTGGTCTCGTGACTTAAAATGAACCTGTAAACTGGCACAGGAAGTTCAGATTTCCTTGAAGAAATGAAAAAAAAAATTGCATGAAATAATGTACTCCCAGTTAAATTGACTTTAGTTGTGCCAGAGGAGTTGATTCTGAATAACTGTTAATTCCCAGAAAGGCGTTTGCCCATGTTACCTTTGGAAACTCATGCTATCCCTCGCCCAACTGGATGTGAGTTTAGCCTCTGTCTTTTTTTCAAGGATTCTTTGGACAGTTTTGCCATGTTGGAAAACTGTATGTTATGTCTTGGAATCTGAGGTGGCTTATTACTGGGATAAAGTTTTAATATCACAAAGACTTGTGTGCTGACATTTGACTGTTCCTTTTCCCATTCCTCTGCATGCATTACTTCTTTGGGAAGGAATGAAGATTATCTTCTAAGATGGAAAGTGTTGGAGCACATGTCAACTTGTTAGTTGGTACTTACTTTTGAATTGTGGTTTGTGTGGTGTAAGATGTCACATTCTGTAGCCTTTATCTGAGCCTATTTACGGCAGGTGGGCTGTTGTTTTACATATATCTGAAAAAAGGGATGGAAGTTGAATAATAGATTTCAAACTGGGAGTCCTCTTTTTGTGATGTTGTTCAGTGGAGGTTTTGCCTAAGAGACTAAGGACAGATATACAGTTCTTAGTGTTTAAGGTTGATTTCAAGGAAAGGTTGGGCCTGCTTCCCTCCTGGCTATATAAGCTCTCTCTTCGGGAATATATGTGGATCCTGGTGTCCAATATTCATGGTATATTGATAATGTATGTCTGGAATTGATTGTTTTCTTCTTGTTGTCTCATTGGGTTTGACTTCCAGATGCAGGGTATACAAGATCACAGTGGGTAGATGTGAGCTACCCTTTTCCCTGATCTGAACTTGAATGACAGAGTATTGATAAACATATCTCCACAGTCCTGAATTGTGCATCTGAATAAGAGGAATAATTCAGAACCTTGAAGTTAATGTTTATAACTCACGTTTGCTATTCTGCAGATCCTGTCTTCATATTAAGCCTTTTTCTAAGTCAAAGTTGTTTGTGGGTGGTGAGGTCTTAGCAGTAAGTGAAGGCAACAGATAGCTTAAATGCAACCTAAAAGTGACTCCGATGTGGGTGATCTCCCCCCAAAATTATCTATCTACTATAGAATACTGTGTCTGGGTTGCATAAACCAAACTTTTTAGGTAAGAAATGGCCTCTTATCAGAGTTAGGGCATCATGCAGGTCCTACCGTGGATATTTTTTGAGGACATGCTTTTCTTCAGTTATTTCTGATGATCATTATAATGCTGAGAATAACTAAATCAACTGATAGTGTAAATATTTAAAATAATTCTTGCAGCTAGGTGGCACAATGCTGATATGGGAGACTTGGGATTCTTGTTGCCTGTGCTTATGGAGATGACCTGTTTACCCCTCTTCGGAATAGGCCATGCTTGCAGTTAACTTCTGCTGTCTAATCCATTATGGTGGGCATTGAAACAGATGTGTGCTTTTCAGCTGATATTTCAAGCAACCTGTGACAGTGGCAGCAAGGAAAGTGGTGGTAGTGTTGAGAATAAAAATGGAGGTGATAATCTTTAAAAGTGTATATTGAGAGTAATTTTTAGTGTTTTGGAAATATGCAGATTTCATGCTTGATACTGTAAGATGCTGGTTTAAAATGTAGTCATAACAAGGGCATGCAAGAAATTGTATCTATACATCTTGGTACTTTCATGGCCCCCCTCATGGTAGTATCTGAGCATCTCTCAAGTATTTAAATAAAGAAATAACAATTTCTCTCTCACTTCCTTTCCAGCCTGTAAGAGAAATACCTTGATTAATTTATAGGTTTATTTGGTTTTGGTTGTGTATGTGAATGGGTGTATTGTGTGTCTGTGTGAAGAAATTATTGAGGGAAAGTTAAGTTAGTGAAATGAGTTTGGCATTTCTGGAGGTGACTAGTTTCTAAAGTGGTTCGTCTGTGGTCATTTGTATTTTTGTGGGAGTGGGTTTCATTGTCTAGGTCCAGCTCCTGTGTAAGTTTTTTGCCCTCCTGAGTATCCAGCTATACAGCCTTCAGTTTAAACATTACAGTGACTTAAAGAATATGTGCTGAAAAAAACAAAGCTCGTCATTAGTAAACGTGTATTTATGAAGTGTCTCCAACTTATTTTTATACCACAACAGTTTCTTAGGGTATGTGGACACAGACTCCATATATTTCAGTAACTGCTGCTGAGATTGTGACCTGTGCATTGCAGTCACTTAATATTTCCTCTTGTGAATTGTTTAACATTGATTTTTGCCTGGGTAGCGCTTACGCTTTCATTCTAGGATACACTGTATAACCTCAAGATTTGAGGTGTAATCGTATATCTATCCTGGCCTGCTAAATTATTTTTTAGCACAAATAAATAAAAGAATCATAAAAGTTAGAGATGGCAAAAGTCTATTAAGTCATCTAGTTCATTCTCCTTCCAGTGCAGGATTGTTCCCTAAAATATATTGTCTAGTGCTATACTCAGTGTTCAGGTATTGTCCGTGATGTGCCAAAGATGACATATGGCATCCATTGGAATATAATACCTGCATGTTTGTGAGTTTTAATAATATATATTTGCCATATTGTATTTTAATAATCAGAGAGTAACATAAGATATTTTACACTTACTTATTTATGTCTTGAGCCAGGTCAGCAAAACATAAGGTGCTGTGTATCTTTAACCCAAGTGAATTTGCAGATCTGCATGTAGTGGGAAATACTCCAACCTCTTCTCTTGTTACTGTACATTCACAAAGGATTTGGTTGGTACTCTCTAAAGTCCAATATTTCCACACAGTACTACTTCCTTAGATTTAGTGTAAATATAAGTCCCCAATTATGGACTTATAGAGCTGCATAAAAATGGGAAGTCCACTGGCTCACTGTGGGAAGACTTAACTTCTTACTAACTTATTTGCACTTAGATAAACCACTTTTTTGCACTAGTATCTCAGTGTGGAATTAACCTTTTCTGTTATGGAATGTGAGTGCTGTAAATGTTTAAAAATATAATTTATATAATGAACTTTCAGTTTATGTATTTCTGCAGAAGGATAGTTATAGATTAAAATGTTCTTAAATGGTTAATGTGCTGTTTTTTTAATCACTGTTATGTTATCCCATCACGTGCTTTAAATTTAAATGTCAGGATAGCAAAATAAAATTCTGACCTGAACTTTGAAGAAATGTAGTTTTAAAATGTCACATTTCTTGTTGAATGATTACGTAATCAAAGAATGAAAAAATAACCTGCTAGCTTTATAAACATTCTGGTAATGAGTTTGGATCTCTTCATTAAGTGTAGAAGATGCTGATTACACTAAAAATCAGCTACCCTGTGGAATTTAAGGTATATAAAATCCCAGACTTAGAGAACTTTCAAGTACTTACAAATTGTCTGTATCCCTACCCTCCTATTCTCGAAATTTCAAAATGTTCACATGAATCTTAGGCATTACCAAAGTGGGGAAATGTTAACTGGATGTTTGCATCATGCAAGCAGATACTTATCAGTACTTTTTTTCATATAGTTTTGCTGATTCACTGCAGCTGACTTTTGTCACACTGATACTGTGTCTATATTGAGTCAGGACTGCCAGCAATTCAGAATTCTGTGTTGTAAATGCAGACAAACTTATAGACTGAGAGCATTGAACTCATTTCACTTATGGACATAAATTCTCTCCTGGTGAAAGTAGCTTAACCCACTGTGCCATGTAACAACTTGCAAACCTTGACTATGTTCTCAGATTAAAATTACCAATTTAATTCTTAACTCTCAGTCTTTTCTCAGGAGTTCCACTGGTTGTCAATGGATGAATCGAAATAGCCAACATGAAGAATTTATACATGGGCTTATTTAAGACACCACTTATTATGGTTGGTGTCCTCTTCTATTAAGTGTGTCGTTTATTACAATAATACTTTGCGCCCCTTAATGCTTTTCATTCCAGGATCTCAAAGCACTCTGCAGTTTAATAAATTAAGCACTCAACATCCCGGTGAGTCAGAGAGGTATTATTGTCCCTATTTTACTCATGCAGAAACTGAGGCCCAGAGAGATTGTCTTGCTCAAAGTTACTCAACAAATCAGTGACAGAGTAGAACCCAGAACTCCTTAAACTCTGACTCTTGCATCTTTTCTGTGCACTAGCCATTCGTCCCATTTATCAGAGTTTTGGGAAGAACTTTGCAGCATTTCTGAGCTGCTTCCTATCTCTAAGGCACCTATCCCCAGGCCATCCCTAGCACTCTAAACTTGCATGCCCACTTGCAACTATTATGACAAATGAACTATGACAAAACGTAAGGGATAGAAAACAAGCCAAAAGCATACCACAAAAATTGGCCAGGGGAGTTTGGGATAGGTGTAACTATCTGAAACTTCTACTGAATTTTTTAAAACACTAGATTTCAAGTTAATGGTATCAATTTACAGTCAGAACTTTACTTGCAGTCGCTTTAAACAAAACAAAAAGTGAAGGGATATTGTCAGGGCTCTTGGATGCAAATACCCGTTGTTGATACAGTCTGATGCCTATCATCCTGTCTGTAGTTTAAGTAGGATTTTTTTTTCCAAAAGTGTTCCTTTAATTGCAGAATGATTTAATGAAATAATAGGAGCGGTACTTATGCTAGTCAAAGAGTAAATAAACCTTTGTCAATAGTTTGGAACACGTGTGCACATGTGAACTATCAGGAACTTCAGAGCCACTTCGGGTTTACAGTTTCTCTTCATTAAGACTTAATCTTAACATTTTCATTATACCTGAGTACATACAAGCCTAGAAGTAAACGTAATCACCATATTAACAAAATCAGCACAGTGACACGCAACTGGTTTGGGAAAGGAACAGATGGGAGCTTGCCAAGGATTTTCAGACCAAACAGGTAAGGGATGTGGTTGGTGGGAACCTAATCTTAAAAACAAAAACCCACCATCACACTCTTTGAATGTGAAATCATGTCAATAGGATGGGAAATAGTTTACATTCTGTAGCATGGAGGG